TACTCAGATTGCCTTACAAATAAATGTCGAACTTCTTTCTTCTAAAGAAACAAAAACTATGAATTATAGACAATGAATTACGAGTGCAGTTTATTCAGAAAAAATATGTAGAAATTCAATTAACATACTCTTGAAAAGACATTAAAAAATAGTTAACCTAAGTTCAAATAAATGTTTGGCAACATATGTATCTCTTCTGTATGGTTCCCCTCTGTTTGGCCGGCTCCTGGAGTCACTATCCAACCTCCTCTTCCCATCTTCCAGCACATCCGATGAGAGAGTTGCTGTTACAGACCTTCCCCGTCAGATCATTACATGGCTTGATTGATGTAAATATGTGAAATACTCTAAACACTATAAAAGGCCATTAGTCATCTCAACTCACATTAGAAGAGATGAGTATCAAGGTAGAAGAATGATCACAGATTATTGATTGGTACTGATCTGTTGGCATGTTTTAGAATCAGAATTGTATTGCTGAAAATAACTGTAGGTGTCTGCATCTCACTGGCCCTGTCACTTTATAAGTTAGAAAGCTGAAGCCCCCAAAGGTTAAATAAGTTGCTTATATGCAAGAAATCCAGATAGCTGGCTCTTTGTTCCCTTTTCCTCCATTTACACCATGCTGACTTAAGAGAAAACTTTTCCTTTCAAGTGAGAAAAACAAGCCCTCAAAAGTCCTAATTAGGTTCCAGCTAATGAAGGTTTGAAAATAAGGGATTTGCATCCTTGGAGTTGATTCCTTGGTTCCCTAGCTGAGTGTGTGGACCACTGCTTTAGGAGGAGGACATCTGTCTCCAGCAGCAGGGCCACGGTGAGAGCCTTTCCAGATGGGCCCATTCCACAGTCCCGCGGCGGGCCGCAGTCAGAGCCTGGATAGATCGGCTCAGGGGCCCATTCCACAATCACTGCATTTGTTCTCATGTGCCAACTGCCTGCACTTGCCCTCATGAAAATCCGTTTTTCTTGGGGCTTTTGGCATAGCCTGCTGTTTGAGTTGCTCTCTGATGCTATGTTTGCCCCAGTTCACTATGTCCACATTTCTGGTGGCAGTCCTAAAAAATATATATGCGCTTTTTACACAAGCCTCAATTAGAAAGGCACCGCAAGAAGCCTCTGTAAGAGGGAACACACCGTCCATGGCACACAGCATGCCCTTGAAAGCAGGATAAATTGGCTCACCCAGAAGTTTCTCTCCTCCAAGGAGTCAGTTTACCATGATGACCTTCAGAATGAAGGCGGTGGAGGACACTAGTATGGTACCTGTTTGTTGGGTCAGGGACCCAGTGGTTTGGAGGTCATCATAACCTCCGAAATACAGAGCAACTTGACCACTGGGTGATTGAGTCCACACGCTAGACTAGAGCACACCTCACCCACGTCTGAAATAGGACACCCTCAGCCCTCTGGCCGCCTGTGCTTGGTTTCAGCCCCTGGGGACCACCTGTTAGCTTACCCTAGCCTGTTACAGAGTATTAGCCAGTTCTGTGTGTACTGGGATGTGAAACAGATCAGGAAGCACTGCCTTCGAGGTCGAATTACCTGCTCCCAGTGTCTCTCTAACCTGCAGCTCAAACTGAGGCTCTAACCTGCAGCTCAAACTGAGTTCTACAGAGATTCCAGCTTGGGGAAATGACACTCCTTTGTGACCCTGCCTGAAAAGCAAGTGCAGGTGCTGAGTGTGTCCTCTGTGCTTTCTGGTTAGATGAGCTGAGCGACAGCCCTTCCAGGTGGTTTCTTCCCACCTTCGTGTTTTCTGCTGCCGTGTTAATTCTAGAATTTAACACATGCTCATTTTATTTATTTATTATACATATGTCACTCCTGTTTCTTAAATAGAGCCTCCCATAAAGGGACTTTTTTTGTGTTTGTAGTCAAAGTAATCAAAATGGTTTATAATAATATGCAAATCTGAGCTCTGGAAGGGCAAGCCGTGGGAAGCTCTCGAACCCTGCTCAGGTTCTTGCTCGGTGAGGAGTGTGCAGAGCTCCCTGGCCCTCCGTTCTCCCAGGCAGCCTCCTTTCCAGGGAGGACGATGCCGTTGCTTGACTGTGAAGTGACATTCCGTATCTTAGCTGTCGCCTTCAGAAAGGATAGCAAGGGAGGGTAACAGGGTGCTAAAAAGAACCCCAAACAGCCCTGGCCGGTTTGGCTCAGTGGTTAGAGCGTCAGCCTGTGGTCCAGAGAGACCCGTGTTCAGTTCCCGCTAAGGGCATGTACCTCAGTTGCAGTTTGTCCCCGGCCCTGGTTGGGTTGTGAGGGTGGCGGCCACTCGATGTGTCCCTTTCACGTCGATGTTTCTCTCTCTCTCTCTCCCCCACTCTATCTGAACAAAATATAAAAAAAAAAAGAACCCCAAACAAAACCATCTTAGGGAACATTGGTTGTTTTCAGGAAATTACATGTTCAGCTTTCTGAGGCTTTCTCCCCAGCCTTCCATCCCTCAGGGTGGTGACAGCACATGGAGGGAGGCCCTCTGTGGGAGGGCTTCTGAAAACTGGGCCACTTCAGGGTCCCCAGCAGGTGGGTGCAGGGATGCGATCAGCTCCTGATGAGCCTTTGACTTTCTCAATTTAGAGAAAGTTGTAGTGAAAAAATTCATTTTGATCTTCTTAGGCAAATTCCTCCAGACTAAAGGGGCCCTTACTAATTTCCCAACCAAGTCTTATATGAATCGTACCTGGCATGATTTTGAAGCTCCAAACTTGAGGCCATTTCTTTGAGCGAACTTGATTGTAAAGATAAACTTATTAATGGAAATAATTTTTAAGTGCCTTGGGGTCCAAGCTGCTGTGGAATGCTGTTATGGATGACCTTAGTCAGGGTTCTGCAGACTTTTGAAGTGCCAGATAGTAAATAGTTAGGCTTTGTCTCAAGTACTCAACTCTGCTGTGGTAGTGCGAACTGTATGCCAACATTTAAGGACACTGCAATTTGAAGTCATGTAATTTTCATGTCACAAAATAGTATTCTTCCTTTAATCGTTTTTCAGTTATTTAAAAATGCAAAAACCATTCTTAGCTTGTGGGCCATGCAGAAGCAGGGGGAAGGCCGGAATTGGCCTGTGGTCCATGATTTGCTGGCCCTGCTTAAATGAATTCAGCCATTACCCAGTCAGCTCTTAGCAGCTCATCATCACTGCACTGGGGGACCCGGCTGGGTAATGGGAACAGTTGTGCTAAGTTAGCTCTCAGGATGGTTTCATGCAATTAAGTAAATTATTCCTTTGATTAGTACCATGCTTAGCTGATCCAATTGGAGGCCAGTAGTAGAGGAATAAATCAGTTTAGCACTAGTTCCCTTACCCTATTTACAGTCAGGTAGCTTTAATTAGCCTGAAGCAAAAAGAGCATTGGTTCTAATTTCCCACCTCTGCAAGCTCAGCAGCTTCTTCACAGTCAGGTCCCCTCCTGCCCTGCCCATGTCCCCGAGCCCACTTGCAGAGATGCTGGCTCTACCGTCCTGTTGGGTACAGTGAGGGTTGGGATTGCTCTTGGCAAAACATGGCTCTGATGCAACAGTATGGCATTCTCCCCCCCACCCCTATTGCTTATGTAACAATAAATGTTGTTGAGTCATGCATTAACAAATTATAGCTAAGAATGTTTCTATTTCTTCTCTCCAATATAGTTGTTTTCAAGAAGTGAGCATTCCAGCTCTCTGCTATTTAATTTTTGTACAGTGTGGTATTTGGCACAAGACAAAAAGGGCAGGCGTAATCGTCCTATCTGGCTCTTCTTTGGTCTTATTATTTATGTCGTCATTTATGCATAAGAATAAGCTGTTGGTCAGGTGGTTGGATATGTTTGTAGAATCAGCTTCTATCCTCATAGTTACGGGAGTCCTTCATTCAACATGTCTTCAGAGGCATTCTTTGGTGCTGGAAATGAAGGATGGAGGAATATGGCTTGGTATAGTGAAGAAGCCACCAGACCACCCAGAAAATGAGAAGTGCTGGGACGGACCTCTCACAGAGTGCAGTAAGGCTGTCCCAAAGAGACCGACCTGGTCCCAGGGCATCAGAAGGTTTCCTAGCAGGACCAGTGTGTACATGAGGGCTTCCAGAAGACTTAAGGAACTCACCAAGCTCTGAAGGCAGGGGTGTGCATTTCAAGGAGACTACTGGTACAAGCATAGGAGGGGTGACAGGTAGCAATGGCCGACTGCTCCAGATTATGTGGTATGGAGTGTGAAGAGAGGGAGCAGCTAGGGAAGGAGGCAGAGGCTGGCCTTGAAGTCTGCGGGAATCAGCTAGGGGAGCCATGGAATGATTTAAAATACAGAGGTGATGTGATCAGAACTGTGCTTTAGAAAGAGTTTACTGGCTGTAGTATGAAGAGTAGACTGAAAAAGAACAAAATAAAGGATGCTTATATTCTAAGAGAGAAATGACGAGGGCCTGACATAGATAGAGACTGAGGGCAGGGGAGAATTTACAGATTCAAGAGAGGAAGGAAAATTGGCAAGCCTCACCCAGCCAGTGTGGCTCATTTGGTTGAGTATCGACCATGCACCAAGAGGTCATCAGTTTGATTCCTGATCAGAGCACATGCCCAGGTTGTTGGCTTGATCCCCAGTAGAGGGTGTGTAGGAGGCAGCAGATCAATGTTTCTCTCTCACTGATGTTTCTCTCTCTCTCTCTCTCTCCCCGCCTCTCCTCTCTCTGTAAAATCAATAAAGAAAAAAATATTTAAAGATTATAAAAGCAAAAGAATATTCTTACACTTATATAAAAGTATGTAAGTATACTCTAATGTTAGAAAATTTAGAAAATACAAAAGTATAAAGAAGAAAATCAAAATCACCTATAGTCCCATCACCCAGAAACCCCAGTTAATGTTTTGGTATATGATAATTCCATATGAATTTCCCTCTTACCACTTAATGGCAGGAAGGAAGAGTGGTTAACATAGCATACATATAATTTTTAAATTCTGCTTTTTAATATTATATTATAATGAGTTTTTTCCATGTCACTCAGAACTCTTTTTTTTTTTTATGCACATAATTTAATTTTAGGGCATTTCCACCTGCCCAAGGTTGAGGGAGGTGGTGGGACTCATACCCTGGGCTCTGCAAACACCTTCCAGCCTTCCAGCCGGCCCATCTTGACCAGGGCGGCCGTCATGCCCATGTACGCACAGGCTGCAGCTCCGACCCCATAGCTGTGGGTGCGTGCTCCCAGGGTCAGACCTCCGGCACAGCCTCCAATAAAGTAGTTCAGGGGGTCGTCGGGTTTCTCGCGGACCTTGGCACTGACGCAGGAGGCAATGCCAAATATGGCACCAATGGCAGCTGCGATAAATGTGTACCGTCCAGTCCTGGCCACTCCCTCCAGGAAGGAGTCAGGGGGCTTGAGTGCAATGCTATAGGCGGAGGCGATCAGGCCAACGTGTCACTCAGAACTCTTAAGACATTATAATGCCCATGTAATATTCCATCATGAATATGCTCTTAAACATATTTAAATACACATATTGTAGATATGCAGATTCTGATTTTTTGATACTATAAATGATAGTGCCATAGTCATCTGTGTTTCTGAATCTGATCTCTGACTATTTCCTTAGGACATTCCTGAAACAGTGATGATAGTGTCAGAGATACAGGCATATTTAAGAATCTTGAAATATTACCACATTTCCTTCTAGAAAGGTTGTACCAATTTATACAGAGGGAGGAAATACTGGCAGGATTCTCTGCCTACCTGGGGGTGTTGTGTCTAGTCTCTCTCTCTAGCTCTCTCTCTCATGTCTAGGTCTGAAATGTCTCAGTGACTGTGGTCTTAAGTTATTCCTTCATCTTTCACATTGTTTATACCAAAGACTCTTCCTATTTGCATTAGCCATTATAAGAAATACTCCATAGGGTCCTACTATTTTAAATGACTGAAAGAGGTGGCTGAAAGCCTCTTGCTAAGCTCTTGCCAACATTGAGAGTGGAGATAGGTCTCCCGCCCCAAATTCCAGGCCTTCTTCCTACTCTCATTAGAGTAAAGAAGCCCACTGTATTTGGAATGGTGCTGAGAACGCTCATTGCATTTTTAGATCCTCAGAGAACATTTATACCTTCACTAGCCATTTTTGGTACCCTTCCCTCCTGTGTATAACAGCTTTCAGGCATTGTTTGGGTTAGCCACACATGAACAGTCATAAGAAATCTAATTGAATTAAGACTGAGGAGAACAAAGTCACCCTTTGTAACCTGTACCATCCGAAGAATGGTGCCACTGCCCTGGCCGGTTTGGCTCAGCGGTTAGAGCGTCAGCCTGCGGACCAGTGAGTCGCAGGTTCAGTTCTAGTCAGGGGCACATACCTCGGTTGTGGTTCATCCCCAGCCCTGGTTGGGTCATGCAGGAGGCAACCAGTTGATGTGGCTTTATCACATCGATGTTTCTCTCTGTCTCTTTCTCTCTCTCTGTCCCTTCCACTCTGTCTGATGATAAATAGAAAAATATCCTCAGGTGAGGAATGAAAAAAAAAAAAAAAGAATGTGCACTTCTCGTTAAGGCAGTGACACATGGGATAGGAAGAATTCTAGAAAGTCAGGCCTTTCATTCAAATGTTGACCATGCATTACTTCAGCCATGTAAGTAGATCTGGGATCAGTAAGCTTGAAGAATATTTATCACCCTGTCATGTTTTCCCCAGTAACTAGTTTCATAAGAATCATATTAGGAAATTTTTTGTTTAGGTTCATTCATCTCATTTGCAAATAAATCCACAGCTAAGACTGTGCTCTTTGGAGCCCTTAGTCCCAGGTTTTCTGGGATGGCCTCTGGAGGGGAGCGGAGCAGCTGGGGAGCGGACACGCCACGGCCTCTCCGCAGAGGACACGGAGCTCAGGGATTCCCGGCCCCCGGGCATCAGATCTGTCCTGTGCGGGGAGAGAGAGGTCGAGTCAGTCATCATACTTTAATTTTTTTTTTTTTTTTTAATTTTTTTTTTTCTTTATCCTCACCCGAGGATATTTTTCCATTTTTTGTACAGATAGAGTGGGAGGCAGAGAGAGGAAGAGAGAGAGAGAAAGAGAGAAACATCGACGTGAAGGGACACATCGAGTGGCTGCCACCCGCACGACCAACCAGGGCCGGGGACAAACTGCAACTGAAGTACGTGCCCTTAGCGGGAACCGAACCCGGGTCCCTCCGGACCACAGGTCGATGCTCTAACCGCTGAGCCAAACTGGCCAGGGCATACTTTAATTTCATGTGGAATCAGGGAAAACCATCCATATTTATGCATCCCATGGCATGAACAAGAGACAGACTTGAAAACTTGACCTCGTTGTATGTAACTAACACTAATTACAGCCACTTGTGCAAGTTGATCACTATTTGTGGCTTGTTAACATGCGCATAAAAACTAGCCTATATCATTAAGTTTCAGAGTAACTCCGCTGAGCAGCTTGTTATTACAACCCTAACTCTCCATGTACTCCCTCTTCCTTGAGGCACGTCACATAGTCATTTACTCATAATTTTCAAAAATTATAAGGACTACAGGTAGTATTATTCTGGAAGTTGTTAAAAATACAGACTGAGACATGATCTTCAAGCCTCACCAGATAGATACTTCTTGAGTTCCTGTTGTGTAACAAATTCTGCTCATTGTTCTACGAAGGAGCCTTAGGCAGTGGAAGACAGGCTTTCTACCCCAGAGCTACACGGTGACTTTGAGAAGAGCACTGTATTTACTAGAAACTCCAACAAGGTAAAGCCAAGGGCCTCCCTAGTCAGTTGACACAGGGCTGAAGGAATACTAAGCCTGGTGGTTCTCAGGCAGACAGGATTAGTGAAAGGCGGCTAGTGAAAGCTTGGGAGGGAAGCCCCGAGTCACAGGTGAGGGGAGTGAAGGTGTGACTGGGAAGAAGAACTGAAAGACATGGGGTGCCCACCCTGATGAGATTTCAGGGATACACAGTCATTCTCGGTGTCCTGGTTCCAGGACAACCCCACAAGTACCGACATCTGCAGGTGTTCAAGTCCTTTATATAAAATGGCACAGAATGATACATACAGTTGGCCCTCCATATCCGAGGATTCCCAGCCCTGGATTGAAAATACAGCTGGTTGAATCCATGAATGCAAAATGCACGGATTTGGAGGGCCGACTATATTCCATCATGCCCCTCTCTCCTTTGATTTCTGAACCCACTGAAAAACAGACATGCAAATCAGACCGAGATAAAATATTCCATCCATTACTGACAAAGTTTGGGCTAGAGAAGCAGCTTGAGCAGGTCCAGTGTTTTGCACAGTGCTTGAAACAGCCCAGAAGAAATTCCTATTATAAAAAGAAACTACTTGGAGTGATTAGAGGGAGCAGAAGGTAGCCAGAGACAGAGAGAGAAGCATGCCCTCTGCCAGCCACACCAGGCACTCCAGGGATGGTCCTAGCGTGACCTTCGCTGCCAGGTGCCCTCAGTCTGGTGGCTGCTGGTGAGGACCAATAGCTGGTGCTTCTATTCCTGGTCAGAATGGCCAGTACAGATCTTTAGCACAACCCCGAAGACTGCTTTCTGTATAACTTTAGAAAGTAATCTTGGCTCCTACCCGGTTCCAGAAGCTTTTTGCTTGCTTTCCAGTTCTTTCTGCTTGCCTATACCCAGCTCATTTCTTATTGGTGGGAAAAGCCCTTCTCATACCCTGCCCCGCCCCTAGAAACCTCTCTTAGCTTCCAGGAACCTGAGCACGAACTCCACATCTTGCTGCAGAGGTTTGCATGACCCGCCTTTTCATTCCTTCCCACTCGGGGGCCCCTGGCTCTTTCCTTACACCTGTCACCCTTCTTGATCACTGTCACGTTGCCTTGTCGTTTTTCATTTGCTTCCCTGTCTCCTTCTCTAGACTGAGTTCCTAAAGGGTAAGGACAGAGTCTTTTCATCTTTTGCTTGTTGTAGCCAGCCGTTTCAAGGTCTCTGAGCATCTGTGTACATAGGTCTTTTTGAAGCGATGTGATGATTGCGACCTGGGAGAGGGGCTGGAGCTCTAGAAGAGAGGTGTGTTTGTGGAGGAGAATTAAGTGCACATTATGAATCAGAGAGGCTTCCTTCCCTTCTGAATAAAAGGGTTGGGTGTTTGATTACTTGCCAGGGCATACGGGGCTTAGAACAAGGTGTAATGAGGACTTTCTCAAGGTGGAGCTGCCTGGACAGGTGCGAGGAGCCAGGAAGCTTCAGCACCCCAGGGGGCTGGCAGTGCTTCTGAGGCGTCCTGAGCAGTCTGTGTTCACCTCGGTATCCTCAGACCAAGCTGTGCCCCTTGGGGAGCCTGGCACAGGCAGCTCTCTGGGAGAAGGACAGAGACCCCCAGGTGCCTCCCTGGGAACGGAGATGCCCAGGCTTGTCCGAGGCCTGGCCTGCCTGCACGGAAAGGTGGGGGAGGCACCAGATGCCCCGCCTGCCTGTCGAAAAGATTCCCTCCAGGGTGAGCTCATGGGAGCTGCTATCCCCACCCCCGTGACAACATGGAAACAATGTGTATGCCCCGGTGGGAGCCCCAGTCCAGTGCTCCCTCGGAATTCGGATCAGAGCCTGGTTTTGCTTCTACTGGAAGTGGTTTCCACAAGATAGGTCTGTCCATTGCTGCTGGACTGTCTGAGAAGATAACTCACATCACAGTGGGAGTTGAGAGTGTGCCCAGATGACAAACTGAAGTCCTTGGAATTTCCAGAGGGCAGTGAAGTGAGGCAGAGGGCTCTCACGCTGACCAGATGAGGGTTAAGACCCTTCTGGGGTCGAGCAGGGCAGCGGCCGGCCACTCCATGCTCCTCTCGGAGGCGCCAGCCTTGAGGTCAGTGGCCTTAACAGCCGAACAGATTTAGCTCCTCTGGGCCTGTCTTTTGGGTAATTGTACTCATGATTAGGAAGCGCTTGGACTCTCCTCTTTCTCTTCACGGGACACTCTGCACTTCACTGCCCTGCCCCCATGTCACACCCCACGTCACTCAAGTGTGAGCCAAACAGCTACATAAGAGTCATGGAATCCTTTGACGTTAGTAAGACCTGCGTTGAGGCAAGGGCGTCCTTGCAGCTGACCCTTGGATTCGCACCATGACTGCTTCTTGGGGCAGGCCCAGGCCCTCTCAGTTCTTGTGGTTCAGTGGACTGGGGGCTCTGCTTCTCTTTCTTTTGCTGTCTGTCCTGAGCCCCGCTCTCGGAGTTCCCCCAAATGTGCTTTTGCCTGTCACTCGAGAACCTATAGTCTCCTGAAATAATTTTCATGGACCAGTTAGATTTCCTTAAATATTCGAGGACAAGATACAGAATTGCTAGGTTTAAATCTTGCCGAGCAAGAACATTTTCCTAAAAAGCCAGTTACCATCTACTATCTCCGTGATTTTATAAATGAAAACATTTTAGCACCAAAATGAAGGAAAGTCATAATTTCAC